ACAAAGGCCACAAATGGATGGCGCCTGTAAAGAAGGGACACTGTAGCATCTTGGTCATTGGTGGAGCAATTTATAAGTATCTTTTGGCCCAGGTATCCCTTTAAGATATTCTGTGGTTTCTTAACAAAAGCCAAGGGTACTGTCAAGAAAAACAAGTGAAGTATATCAGCAAATATAAAAAGAATTCTGATGAATTTTGAGTAACTTTCTCAGAATTAAGGATCATATGAAAAGACAAATTTCTTACCACTTCGAACAAGTTTGATGACATGAAAATCCCTTCCTAGTTTATTAGACGCCAGACACCTGAAGCTCGCAGTTGGCTGATTGCCTTGAACGTTTACCACACTCTTCTTTGTCGGTGTGTTTGGAGGAGTCATTATTAGACTCTCAGGGACTGGCATCCACTGACTTTCAACTGGGTCACAAGAGCTCGTGTTGAAAGTGAAACAATCCGTGTTTTGGTATTCCCACTTGAATGTTGGCAGAGGATTGCCTTTGTTCACCACACAAGACACTTTCGACCCTTTGCCGCTACTACTGAGCACCTTGTCGGGCTTTTGTATTAATCGGGGGGGAGCTGAAGAAGATAATTAACCTGCATTGGTTTAGTTTTAGAAGATAAAAGACTTACCCTGATGCAGGTCTAAGGGTAAAGGATAGCAAAATTCTCCGATGGGGATTATGGTAGAAATTGCATTTGCATCAACATTGTGAAACCGAAAAAAATGTGCAATGAAGAAATAAACGTGTGCACATAAAACAAACATGATTTTTGCCAACCTTCCAGATCATTGAGTCAAAGACCTGGGTGTCAGGTAACAAAATTTTGAGTACGAATACAAAAGTTAAATACTGCTTTCAGTTTATACATACCTAGGACGTTCAGATCAATGATTAATTTTGCAGGTTGGGCGTGACCGTTTGTTGCAATACATTCAAATTCTCCTTGATCTCTCGAGTATAATGCACTTCGTATTTTAAGAACTTTTATAGTCCTAGCGCTCTTTCCTCCAAACTTGTGTTCTTTAATTTCTTCATAAACTTCATACGGAATTCCCTGGCATCTGACGTCATTTAACTCGGAACACTTCATTGTGGGCAACTTCTTGCCATTTCTGTACCAGTCTACGTCAGGTTTGTGGATTGCTGTTGCTATGCATTTGATGACTTTTATCGAGCCTTCTCTTACGGTTTTTTCTTTGACAATAGGTTGCAGTTCATCTGTTGAAATGTTAGAGTAATTATTTATTGCACTTTCTGCTAATAATCATTACACGAATTTGTTTTCATGCGAGTTATTTTTCATTGGTCCAAAACAGAAACGACCACAATTAAATACATATAGCAATGTTTTGACAACCCTTTTTTTTTAATTCCACTTCTTAATAGCTTTTCATCGATCACTATGTTCCCTAAAGGTATTTAAATGAGGTTTTACTGAAAAGAAATATAGATCTTTAAAAACGAATTTTGCAACACCCTTTCCATGACAACTTAGAGGTGTCCCCGTTTTTCTTTTTCTAATCTCACACTGCTTGCCGCGGTTGGCAAACTTGTGAGAAAGATCATCAAAAAAATTTACATTTCAAACCTCGGTGCTGGACATCTGGTGTTGTTGTTATAACCGGAGGAGCTGTAACGTCTGGTTCTGGTTCCGTTGTAAAGTCTGAGGTTGCCTTTGGGAAAGCAGTGATTTCTCGAGTTGGGGGGTGCGAAAGTTGCCTAGCGTCCGATGTTGTTATGACTTCTCGTATTGCTGTGGTGAATTGGTTTGCCACAGTCACAGTCTCAGTATTTGTGGCTTCTACTGTTGATGCAGTATCTTTCGCGGCTGTAGAATACGGATGTTTTGAGGCATCTGTGGTCTCTGGTATGGAATCCGCAACTCTCGTGGAAGCCGGGGTTCCAGAGGTACCATGGATTAGTGTAATGAGATCTGGTTTTGCTACTGTAGTATCCAGGGTCTCCATTGAAGGTAAGGTCTTGGGTTCAGCTGAGGATGCTGTCGAGTTTGGAATTGATGTTGTGTCTTGATTTGTCGCAATCTTATTTGTTGCTGTCTTCACGGGATATGGGCTTGTTCCAAAACTTGCAATGGTTGACATGGCAGACGGGGTGTATGGCACTGCCGATGATCCTTGTAACGCATCTGTCATAACTGAAAATTTTGTAGTATCTGAGGTCACTGTAGGATCTGACACAGCTGAGCTGTGCACGTCAACTGTACTATCTGTAGTTGGAGTAGAATCTGGTGCTGCAGTAGTAACCTGGGCTGTTGAAATATCTGAGATTGACTCGGTAACTGGGACTACTGTTGCCACTGAAGTTGTTGTCATACTTAAATTCGTTGAGCTCTCTGAGGCTACTGTCGTCTCTGGCTCAACTGTGGTGTACGATGCCGATGCGGTATTCTGCGCTGTCTTCGTATCTGAAACAGATGCTGATATGGGTTTCTCTGCTCTCTCTGTATTCGGAGCAGTTGTGGTTTGTAATGATGGAAGCGGTTGGCCTATGTGACAAGGATTTAAAAAAGTTACATAAATAAGTTCTTAAAGATAATCATCTGACAGAAGTTGCCAAATCTAACATTAAGATCTGAGATAAAATATAGACTTGTTAGTCCATACCTTTCATGTAAACGTTGAGTTCTGCTGTGGCCTGAATTTTTCCCAAGTGGTTTTCTGCAAAGCACTGATAGGGTCCCATGTCGGACAACACAAGCCTCTTGACTAGCAAGTATCCATCTCCGATGATGTTGTAAAGAGATTCCTCAATCACGTCCCCATTTCGGCTCCATGTGATAACTGGTTTGGGTATTCCGTCAGCAAAGCATTCAAACAATGCATTGGAATCGACGTAAGCATGGACATTATCTGGTTTCTTGATGAATAAAGGGGGATCTGTGGAGCAAAACAAAACTTTGATTATCTACCGTGTTTACTCTTCTAAGCCCGGCGCCGTTTATCAGAGTTTGTTCCAGTCGATAAACAGGCGCACGATACAAGTGCAGCGCAAGGAAAGGAGGAACGCCTTGAACGAGTCACGTAAACCTTCGCCTTTTTTCCTCTCTACAAAAACATTGCGCCACATTCATTAACTGAACACCTGCAATAGGCGTTATTATTTTATTTACAACTCAGATAAGGCGCCATTTTGAGCTAGGGTGGCGTTTGCCCAAAAATCACCATTCTGAAAAATGATTTATGTTCCCCTACATCTGGAGATGCATTTTAAATAACCTGTTGGAAGATATTACTTACGATGTACTTCTAGCTTAGTTGTAGCTTCTCCGATGCCGTTTCGTGAAATTGCACGACAGGTGTATGTCCCCGCGTGTTCCTCAGTTACTGATTCAATCATAAGGTTGTTCTGCCCAACAACAGAATAACCACTTCCGAGCACTACAGGTAACCCATCGAATAGCCATGTGACTTTTGGTTTAGGAAATCCATTTGCAATGCAATCGAATATGACAATATCACCAGCGATGTCTTTTCTCTCGACAGACGCGACGGACACATATGGACCGCGAGGAAACCCACTATCTATGCACAGAAAGAATAGAATGCATAGTCATCCATTATCGTAATGACGCACCCAACCAGGATACGAAAACAAAAGAGATCGAGTTTCAGCTGTGTGACAAACAGACTTGACAAGGCATCAGTGTGTTATCTAGCAGCGGGAGACTTTTTCCTTTTTCGTAGAACCTCATCTAAACACTTGTGTGGTTAGGAGTTAATTTTTGGACAGTTCTATTAGCCTCCTCGAGTGTTTAGATGAATGGCACTGTGCTTGATGCGACATTAAGTCTCTTTCCTCATACACAAGGAGAGCCTTGTTCTGGGTTACTTGAAAAGTAGTTCACAAGTACCTACTCCTTTTGAGACCTGCTTACGAGTGGGCTGATGAACTACTAATTTTTCGAGCCAAATTATGGCACACTAGAGTTAGATATGATAAACGATGACGTACCTACTATGCATACCCTTAACATATCTTATATGTCCTACCTGTTATGACTTCAAGCGACGCTGTGAGAGTGCTCGTGTGACTTGTTTCAGTCACAGTATTTTCTGCAGTACATTCATAGTCTCCTTGGTCATCAAATCTGCTCTCGGCGATCTGTAAGGCTCCATCAAAAGTTATGGTGAAACGTCCTTTAGACTCAATGAAGTGATTTTCTCCAAGTTTTCTCCACCTAACAACAGCTTTTGGTGTTGAATCATTCACGTAGCAATGAAACCTTGATGTGTCTCCAAATGAAACTTTTAACTTGGATGGAGTAACAGCCACCTTGGATGAAATTTCTGTTGATCAAAAGCATATGCCACTTAATGTTATTTTTTTACAGTTCATTTTGGTCCTGTTTCTTTCTTCAGTTGTGTTATGTGTTAGTTTTGATTCAGAAAACTCGACTAACGAGGTTCTCGGTCAATTTATTAGCTGGAGCCAAATTTACCTCAGGGCTTGAGTTTTTTCACAACTTATCTCTGAAGTGTTCTTTGGTGACATTGTCCATAGGCAAAGTAGGAGCGACGATAGTACACTATCCGAAATGGCGGTACTCCACAAACTCCTCGCTAGTTCGCCTTCAAGTTTCCCTAAAGTTTGACTCACTACGAATGCTAGATTTCCTGTTTGATATTTATCACCAAAGTTCTGTATAAATAAGGCTGTAAGTAATGCCATGGCAATTTTTTCCAATGGAGACGAGTTCCTTTTAAATTTGATAACGGAGACTTGGCTTACCAGCAACGAGGAGACGAGCCGTTCTGCTCAAAATCTGAAAATCCAGATTCATGTCATTACGCGTTAACGCCTCGCACTGGTAGGCTCCTTCGTCTGAATTTTCAGCCGTGTCATGATTAACTTTGGAAAAATACAAAGATCCGTCCGGCTTTATCATTCTTCGGTCATCTTGCGATAAATCCCGCAGTGCAATACCATTTTTCCTCCATGTTATAGCGGCCTTGAGGCTTCCGCCTACTAGACAGTCCAATACAGCGGACTTACCCCGCTGTACATACGTGTCTGTGGGCTCCTTGATGAAATACGGTGCTCTTGTTGACGCCAATACTTCTAAATACATAGAATTAAAATGAAAACATGAATATAAGACGGAATGAATAAGTAAATGAGTGCACAGGTGAATCAGATGGTGATTTATATTTGATCTGTTCATTGCATTCCCCTCTAATCGCTTACTGAAATGTTGTCACGATGTCATACATGTCCATGAACTAACCTTCAACTATAAAATGTCTCGGTTGATTTTCGCTGCTTTTGGACCATTTTTTGGACCATTTTTGGGCCATTTTTTGGACCATTT